GATACTCAGATTCTTTTTTTGTAATTTCATTTATGTTTTGTATTTAACAAACCGCTCTTCCTCAAGGACCTAGAATATGTTAGACAGTTTTAGTAGTTCGTTCTGGTGACTCTGATACCCAGGTATCGTAACCGGGAGTATCAGAGGTTTCAGAACGATTTACTAAAACTCTCTGTTCTCAAAAAACAGTATCCTCGCGACGAATCCTTTTTTTTTTATTACGGACTAAATTGTACTAAACTATTAGAAAATAACACGTGCAAATTGTGGTATTTGTTATTAGCACTAGAATGATGCACGAGTTCACAACGAAATAAGGATGTTTTCACATGTGTTCAAAGAATTTCTGTCCGACTGGGCTGTCTACTAATATTCTCGAAATATTGCCGTCTAAACAAAAAAACTTATTTTAAAGGTTGTGGAAATTTGACTTACACGATTACCATCACGCTCGAATTTAAGAACGGAAATTGTTTTGAAACAGTAACAACCACAGACCGTACTTTTTTTTTTTTTCTCTCTCAATTGTTTAAGAACGTTTGTCGTTCATGGACGAGTCGTCGGCGAAAAACTCAGAATTAGTTGGTATGGGCTGTAAGGTATTATTTGTTTGTGCAAGGGCTCAATGTTAATGGTTTATTTTTCTAAATATTTCATTTCTGCTTCGAGAAAAAAAAATACTATGCGCGCACTACGGCTCCACATGATAATCTTTAACCTAAGCCTCATTGCAGAGTAAAAATATGGCTTCCATGTGTATTGAGCCCAAATAATATAGATGCTCGCACGTGCCATGTAGTCCACTCACACTTTAGATGATAAAACGGAACAAGGAATAAGGGGTTGTTCATTCACGCGGATGAAAGTCGATACTGCAGAAGAATAGACAAACATAAATTGGCAATGACCTGCATGAAATGCACGATATGAAGTTTTTAGGAGTGACTGTTTCAGTTGTTTGTAACAGTCGTCACGGTAGTGAAGAACTATGCTGTATCAATTTTCAGGAAATTGAATTGGTGTATCAAGTGGCCAGGGAGGGTGTTAGGTGAAGAACGGCAAGTAGGGAGGGAGAGGGGAGGAAGGGCAGTGTAGGAGAGGAGAGGGAATGGGGAAAGGGGAGGGGGTGAGGAGGGAGGAAGATGGGGAAGGGAGGCAAATGGGGAGATGTTGGAAGCGAAGGGAGGCAAATGGGAAGAGAGGAGGGCTCTGTAGGAGGGTGAGGGGAGAGATTGAAAAAAGGGGAGAGGGAAAGTAGGTTAAAGTAATGGGGAGAGGGAATTGGTGTAATATGAACTATATTTCCCAGCTAAATCGATCTGGATGAGCATCGTACCGGCCTACGGTCGTGTATCACTACTGCGTGTTGCACGTTGAAGGCCCCAGGTTAGCGGTTGTACCGCACTGGCTAAATTGCTCATCTACGGCTAAGACACCAGACGCCCACTGAGGCACACTAGCTTCCGGCTGTATAAACATACACACAACAATTTGCTTTTGCTTGCTCCCAGCTAAATTTAGCGGGGAAACTGATTTGGCGTATCACATAACCAAGGAGGGATAAGAAATGGGACGTAGGTTGGGAGGGTGGGGGAGAAAGATGGGAAGGACACAGTAAACGTTTTTGGTTCTTCGTCGGATGGGATATACTTGTCTGGTAACGATGGCGTTGACGTCTTTTGATGGCGACGTCGAATCCAGGAGCCACTAGATGGCGGACGTTTTCAGGGTGTTTATTGGACCGAATAATTACTGACTCTGCATATTCGTTTCTCGCACAAAATGAATAATAAAAAGTCAGGGACTTGGCATTATTGGTGCGCCCCTCAAAATCCGCGAGCGTGCCCAGCTAATGCACGAATCGAGCTTCCCTCGACCGACACGGGACTTTGCAGAAAACCTCATTCTCTCCCTCTGGCCAGGACCGACCAATAGTCTTAAAACCGAACAAGATCACATGGTACACACTTGTCCAGTCATTGACCGTCAATGAGTATAACAATCTCTCAGTTCTCCATCCGCCAGAATCAAATTCCTAGTAGAATCGTCCCATTCATTGCTTGCCGCCCGGCTAGCCCCTGAGCACAAACTGCACGGATCGGATACCGCGCTCCGAACATTCGAGACGACGGCGTCGCGAGCGAAAACAAATAATAGAATAACGCACACCCGCCGGCGCAGCAGCCACACTATGCTCACTATCTACCGCGGCCTTACAAAAGACACAGTAGGAGATAAAACACCCAGGGTTATCTAGAATATTTCGCTAGGAGAGGGAGGGAGGGTGGGGAGAGAGCAATTGGGAAAGAAGAAACGGGATGGGGTGAGGGAATTGGTGGGCCAAGTGACGTCGATTTCAACCGCTAAATTTCGCGGGACACTGAGTTGGTTATTAGGTCACGTGACGTCAATCTTCCCAAGGCTTAAGATAAACTCGCGTCACGCGACGTCACTTTCCCCGCTACATTTAGCGGAAAATGCACGGACGGTCGAACGGACAACATTTGGGGATTTGAAATTCTGTTTAAAAGTATTTATTTATTGCTTTAAAACGCGCGATAGCACGAAATGGTATTGTTGCGTATCTGCTTTTGCATACTTAGTCATAAAGTTTATTCCTTGCATCTTAATTTAGCTTAATGCATTCCTTTCGCTTGCCTCCCCAAGCTAGGGTCTTTCATCCTTGTTCCATTCCGTTGTTCCCAAAACAATAGTTGATACCGAATTTAGTGCCGTTTTAGTTTTATGCCCTTCTTTTTTCTTTTTTTTAAAGATGTTTTTAGAGCACCCGAAGTCACGAAGTAAGTGCACTTACTTCGTGACTCCTTGTGGTATCTCTCGCGCTTTCCAATGTCACACGACGCGCGTCCTGTTTATATTTCGGCCTTCACGAAGAATAAAAAAACAACTCTAGAAATCATCTCTCGCGCTAGCGTCCAAGGTAAACAGCCCCGCGGTCGTTTCAGCGTCGGCAACACGGCGAGATACGCGCATGCCTCCGCGATTACTGCAGAAAGACGACACGCTGATCGGGCGACCCGGCGGCCGACGCTCACGGTGATGGCGAGGGAGTCACGTTGTTTGAGTCACCGGAGGCGCAGCCGTTGCGTTGCAATGGCGAAAGCTTGGAACCGTTCGCGTTTGCAAAAGCAGCTTCAAATCGTTGCGCGTTTCAATTGGGGTTAACGACCAGTGGGAAGGTCTAACGACCAGCTCTGGCCGCTCACTCAATCGGTTTCTGAATGACAGCCGCCTTCGTGCACGGGATCGTTACGGCTGCGTTCTTTATTTCGAATGATCAGGTTTGCGCAGTGGGGCGGTCGTAGCATTTGTACAGAGTAGTTAGGGTTGGACAGATACGGACCTGGGACGGCGTTCAGCTAAGGACGTCGGGCGCTTGAGGCCTCTAGATGCGCCACCGTTGGGTGTAGTGCCCGCGACGAGGCACCCGTGCGCTCGAATATGAAGGGCCCAGTATCACAGTGGAGCTGCTTCGGAAATGTACTTTGTTTTAGCTTTAGTCCTGATACAGTGGGCGCTACGAGCTAATGGGACCGATCAAGCAGATCTAAAAGCGCAAGTCGCTGAGCCTTTCTCTGTTTACGGTTTGTTCAGCTATGATAGAACACGTATGGAACCATGACGAACACTTTTGACGCTTTTGATGCTGATTGTTCTCACCATACCGTATGGTTTGCTGCGTCTGGACGTAAGGTGAAACAATGTAGAGAACTTTGTTTTGGGGCTTGAATTTTCACTCGCGAATGACATGAAAATCCCAGTTACCTTTTATTTCATGGGAAGGTAAGGTAGAGCTTGGTATAGTCCTATCCACCAGTGTTTCTCCCGCGGCATGAAGAAATCAATAAATCTGTTAATCGATAGATTGTTGAGTTTTTCTACCTTGAGCGGGGCGGGTGGTAACAAGCAGCACCTCCAGTTGATTTACTAATGACCCATCTTCCTTTTTATTGCCGAATGGGGAGACCATAAAACATATGCCGAATGACAAACACTGCATGACTGAAAAATGAAATGAGGCATTAGGTGGGACGCAGTTCTTTGCTGTTGGAGCAGGCAGCGCTGAAAAGCGGTTACAAATGCGTCATTGCGAGAGGCCACGTAGAACGCTGGTGGTTCGTCCATCACCAAGCTCTTGATCACACGTAGGTTGTGTGCTCATAGACGTTCAGGTATATAAGCGCTTCCTTCTTGGAGAGCACGGACACTCACGCACGCGTGTTGTTGCTCACACTCGCGCTCGTGTATAAAAATTTGCGCTCACAAAAACATGTGCGGCGATCCAATTTAAGAGTTGGACATAGTACAGTCAAGGTTTCCGACATACGTTCCGGCATTCACGCTGATATAGATGCATGGACGGCAACAAATGCTTACGCTATGCACACCCATTCACTTTCACACTCATATGTACCTCATTGACGCTGGAACGTTTGGGACATTTTGGGCTCTGGGAGAAACGTGGTCTAAGAAGCCAGGAAAAAAGCTGGGCTAGCTGAGAAACGTTGCGCCTGTCCGTGTTATGTGTTCCTTCCTCTTTGTCCTGGCCTCTTTGAGCGTGACGTTTCGTCATGTTCTATGGAGTCGTTTTGCCTGATCGGTTGCCGTCCGGTATTCCGAGGAATGGCAACGCCCGGAGGTTCTGATATGGGCCCGGAACGGAGGAAAAACTCAACCAAAAGAAGGTCCAATGTGCAAGCGAACAGCTTTTATATCCAAATGGTAACTCCATAGGCGTTCTCTTTAGTCAAGATGCGCCTGATTGCAAAGTAAATTGTTTACTCTGACCTTGTAATGGCGTTTCCTCCTCCTAAAAGATTGTTTCAGCCCCCGTCATGGTCACGTGCTCACAGTGGGTCTTTCTTTGGTATTGGCCGAGAATGCAGGTATCTCAGATCGTACATACGCAGGTAGTGGCCTGCATGCCACGTGTCAGACGTGAACTCTCTTCTCGCTTTCTTTTCTTTTTTTGCGTGCAGTGAAGTAAGCGGAGTGATAGCCTTCAACACGTTCGACCACGACTGGAACCACTCGTGCGTGACCGTCTGGTTCGGCCGTGACGTGCCGTGGTTCTTCAGGCGAGAATGCGAAGACACTTTCCAGATCGTCTGCCAAGACACCAACAACAAATGGAGTAAGCACCATTTGTATTTAATTATCAACCATGAATTTCTTTATTACTATGGCTTCGTGTTTTCGACATGTACCGCTAAATCTAAGAAACTAACCGCCGACCTTTTTTTTCTTTTTTTGTGTGAATAAAGGATAGCTTTTAAATCAGATTAACACACAACCTTCGCTGGATGAAATCATTGTCTACAGTGTTATTTTGAGTTCAGCCGGAACACGACCCGGCATTGAACTGTTAGCGAGGCTGCTTCTTTCTTTGGGAAAAGTGCATTTTGTCTGGTTATATTTTCTTATCGGTACTGAAACGTTTTCTTTCATTCAAGAATGTACGTTCACGCGAAAGCGCCCTGTAGGTTCCGGAAACAATGGTTTATATTTTCTTCAGCATTGTCGACAGTGAACGCCAATTTGTAATCTGGCACTAAAAAAAGTTAAGAAACACCGTATTTTGGGGAGAGATAAGCACCCGTAAAAACGTCTCTGCTTTCCAAGAAAAATAAACCCCGGAAACACGAAACAAAAATTATACCGAAAGCCTCCCAGAACCTCCCCGGTCCTTGCAACCATGCATACCCCATGGCGGAGCATGTCTGCACTACCAGTTTAAATGGGGTTGGATGTCAAGTTCCGGTGTAACCCGGTTTCACGTCACGTGGTCAAGTCCCGTGACATTAGGTCGTGACACCACGTTCTAGGTTCTTCTTAAATTGTAATACAATTCCAGTGGCGAGCAATTTTTTTTTGTTGTGAATGTTTCCTTTCCTTGCTCTTCGTGCGGTCTTCTTTAAATATAACTCCGTACAAACTAGCCAAAGCATTTAAGCCTTTTTCATAATAACAATTTACATAGCTCCGTTGTTTCTCTGTGTATGATTCGACCTTTATGTGCACTTGATTATGATTGCCATGTAGGTTTTCTTACATACAATTCAAAAAGAATTTGAATTTTATACCTAGTATCGACTCCTTCCAAGTACGATGTTTTAAGTGCCCGAGGAAATTATCCTATATCTTTCTTGTTAATAATGACGTCTTTAAGTCGCTGCGAAGAGGGCATTAAGTTGCAGTGAAGTCAGCGCTTAAATCCTAAACACAAATATAAGCTTTAATGCGACTTAGGTTCGCGATTGTCGATGTTAAAGAGCAGCTTCGGTCGAAAACGAAAATAAAATAAATCACTGGTATCGCTTCAGTGAAACAAAATAAGATCACAGCTGAAATATTACGTCAAAGTAAAGCCGCGTACTCTACTAAGACCGATTTTACAGATGCCACCAGCCGCTCTTTAGCACGTAGCAAGCGGGTAAGCTTTTAGCCAAGCAACACTGGAGAACGCGTACCGGAGCACCACCATGATTTCACGTCGCGGCCGTACAGATGATATCAGGGTTGCCACCCCTCGCCAGCAGATAATTTCGGTTTGGCCGTAGACGCCCGAAATGGACTTTTTGGACGTGATATTTATAAAACTTCATACAATATCCAAAAAAACAAACCAAAAAACTTGCAGTTCTCGGAAATTTCCTTAGCTAAAAACAATCGTCATTCCAAATTCTAAAATATTGACCGGAGTTGCCCTCTAAAGATAAAAGTACCTCTGTATTTTTCTGAAAGAGAGAACAGAATAATTAAATGTATCTTAATTCTACGAGAAAGGTCCGGACACGCGCACAGAAGGTGCAGTGAGTTTTAAGCATTTCATACCACGAAGCGTTTTTGTTGCAATGCGTGCTCATCTACCTATAGCAACTATGACGAGGGTAATCCAACCCATTTCGCTAGCATAGTGTATAGGTTATTGCATTCCTGAGTGAGAGCTCCGGATTCCATTTTTGCCGAAGGCCGCAACTTTTTGTAAAGAAAACTCAGTGCGTTATATTTCTATTACAATATTTTGTGACGCTTCAGGCTTGGAAACAAACCAGAAAACAAAATGTGTGTTGAAAAAAAAGAAGAGGCGGCGAGAGAAATACAAGGATCCGCACCTTCTCCGCTTGAAAGGGGAGAAGTCCAACTGTTGGAACAAAAAGGCGGGGCAGGATGACCGAACAAGGGATTCGAGCAATTGATCAGAAGTAGAAAGTGCGAACAGTACGTTGGCCTTTCATTGCCTGTGTCACGTAGGGGAACTCGTCTAACAAGATGACGTTAACGGCAGCCTGTGACCGGAACCGTAAATGTAGACAGAGATAGATAGATTGCGTCATTTGCCAAATGCCGGTATGTTCCTGTTCATGACTCCATCTCCTGGCCAACCACAAGCTCCTATACTAAGCCCGGTGTTGCTCATGTACAAGAATGTGCCTCTTAACTGTTGAAAATCTGGCAAGCGGGACGCTTTTGGGACGGTCATATTCAATGGTGGAGTGAACGAATGCGTCGTTGAACATGCCATTTCACGGTTATGATTGCGGAGGAGAAGGTAGGTTTCCGCGAGCTCTATGAGGAAAGGTTAAGTCTTTCTTTCAGCTATCCGCGCATGCTTCTCGTATCTTGTTTCCTTTATTTTCTTTTTATTCGTGCTAAGAAATACCAAATGAATCATCGAGCAGACGCGGTATCCTTGCCACTCCATGTAACCGTCTTCGCTTGACTCGCTTCTTTCACATTTCGAGTTTCGCTCGTAGACAAGAAGGACCTTTGATGGTAGATCACAAGGATTCGCGTCCAAGTATATAAGAAGTGACATGTGAAATTACTTTTTCAAAACATCACGTAAAGTACTAAGTAATAAAAAAGTAAAACATCAGGGGTATACGTCTGCTAATCTGAGACGCCAAGCGCGTCTGTGGTCGTGGAGGGACCAAACACCTATATCTCTTGAATGAGCCGTCTGTGGTTTGAATACGCCTCCGGAGCATAGTACGATCGTGCAGCTGGCGAGAACGTCTCGCGAACGCACTGATGACGATCAAGGCCTTGCACCCTCTGATATGCTTGTATCGAGTGTTCCTTTATCCATCGGTGAAGTTCAGTTTGTGTTTGGCAGCAGAACAACACGATGTGTACGCACAGAGCGAGGGTTGTCGCTTCAAACGTAAAATTGTATACGCTCACAATTTCATATTGGGTTCGTTCGCAGAGGCACTTAGTTCGTAGCAGACGGATCTTGGCTCGCGAAGTAAGACCCAAATTAGATCCCACTCACACAAAATGACAGGTTCGAACTGCTGATTTGTTTAATCCAGCATTGATAGTGACTGATATGACCATTGTCGGATCATCAAGTGCGCCAGTGTTTTTATCACTAAGCGTTATAACCTTTAAATCCAGCGTCACTAAAACGAAATAACCGCGATTTGATTAATTCTTTTGATCCATACCACCGCCAGGGAATTATTCGCGGCTTGTGGTTGGTCACCTTGCGCCGACTCTACTCTGCCCACGCCCTGGCTCCTGCGAATGACGAAACTCTCGAAATACGGTTCTTGCTTTGACTATACGTATGGCGCTCCAAAGAGGGACAGCCATGTATATGTGTTCGCGCTTTCGTGAATTAAAATTTTAATTAAAAGCTTCGTGAGGCCCGAGTCACGCTAAGTGCGAGCAGGCTTGAAAATATTCACTAATTGTTTATTTCGCCTGCAATTTGTTGCTCAGGGAACCACAGCAACGGTGCTCTGCTGCCTCACCGCGGACATGAAAAATATCCACAGAAGAACTGCTGTAAGTGTTTGAAAGTTGCTCGAATCACTTGTAGCAAGAGATTGCAGCATTTAGATACAGTCCGCATCCTGCCTGTTTTTTTTTTTCCTCTTTTGAATTTATAGCCTTCACAAGGTACCTAAGCAGGTGGGAGATTTCTCCTCACCGGGTTGTATCTCATAGAAAATATCAACGTATCTTGTTCTTAGTTTCGACACGTAGATTCATCATCCTTTTAGCTTGATTCTCTCAAATTTAGGGTGAGATAGCATATCTAAATCAGGATGATTACGTTTGTTGTATCATCTAGTTGTGTCAAAATGCAAATAAAAAGTAGTGTATTAACCCCGTATAAAATCATTATTGCCAGAGAAATACAGGTCACAAGCGCAAGATAAAAAAAAAAAGAATTGAGTGGAACATTTTGAGGTTTGAGTGACGGCAGGTGTAAAGTTGAGTCGAAGATACACGAATACTATAGCTAAGTAAATAACGTACATTATTCGACCAAAATGCTCTGATCTTACTTCCGCAGAGGTGTGTTCCAACTCCCAGTGTATTTCAAAGGCTTTCTGACTGAACGCTTTTATACAATCGGCGAAACGAGTTGTGATCCCAAGACCTCACGCGCCCCCTTGATCATGCGTAGGGTCGACGATTTTGTAAAAGGCTTTAATCTGAAGGCCTTTTAAATATCTGTAAAGCAAAGGTATTGAAGTTCACTGCATCTGTTTTCAACAGCTTTTCATGGGATGTAGCTTAGTTTATGTGCTTTTCAAAGTCTTTGAAAACCATAAAATATTAAAATAAATACAAAATGTAGTAGCAGCAAATTATCCCAATGTACGACTGGATGACCCGATCAGGCTGAGATGCAAAGTAATTTTCTCCGAAGGTTAATCTGAACATTTATTTAACCAAGCTTCAACGGTGACTTAGAAGTCAGGGAGTGTGTATGGCGGGGGGGGGGGGGGGGGCAGATTTGATTCGAAGCCACGCTCCTCATCAACAAAGGACCGGAGGCCGACAGTACAAATTATGAATAGTGTGCAAAGTATTTTCCAGTATATATCATGCGCATCAGGAAAAAAAATACGTAGCGTATAGCGAAGCACTAGTGGCGTCTTCAGCCAACATACCACTAACTGCAAGAATCACTGATAGCTCATTTTATTCAGAAGCGATAATCCTAAACAAAACTGCTGCTGCTTCCACTGGCTGCGAAATATTCCGGTCTCGGCGCTGACAACCAATATACTTTTCTATTTTCGAATACAATATGCCGTCTTAACTTCGTGAGGCTGCTAGATTAAGCTATAAAAAAAAATTAAAAAAAAAACATTTAGTGCGTGTTATTTGACAGTAGAGAGCAATTGCGGACGTAAAGTCTTCGCATAACGACACTTCGCAAAGCTGAGCCCTCTCTGCAGTTCACGAGCAATATCCCTTTCAGTCTACCACGCGTCTCACTCATGGACCTTCGGCTACTGTGTACCGGAGGGGCACAAGTTCACCATCAGCGAAGGCATGGAATTCTGCAAGTCTCGCTCAATGGAGTTGCTGAGAGGCAGCACACTGCGTGAGCTTTTCTACGTCTCCCGCCACCTGGAAAAGCATCATCACAACAACATGGACAGGTACCTCGTCTGGGACAGCGACTTTCGGTGAGGCAGCTATGCTTTAAGTCTTTCTTCGAGATACATTGTTCATTGGGTGCTCGCGCATAATTTATAAACGGACATGACACCAAGCCTGATCAATAACTTTGCAGAAATTCTCATTATGGTGCCCAAAACGCGTCTTTGACTGTGTGTTTACCGTGCTATCTCGCCCATGAATCGAAAGTTGTTCCATAGACGCAACTAATTACGTCACAGAACCAGAGGTTTCGCGCTCCTGGATTTGATAATCCTGGCGGCTGGTAGTAGAAATGCTAGCGAAAACGCGACCGAACGCATAGGTTTCTGTAATCACGACGTCCCATCTATTGTCTGTTTGGGTTTCTGCCGATTGTTTAGAGCAGTTCAGAGAAACCTACAGTAGGACAGGCATGTGTCGCATGCAACCCTGCTGCTGTGCCACCTCCAGGGTCGCAGCAGACAACATGCCAATTCTATGACGTCATCAGACGGAAATTAAGGGACAACCTTTGAGTGTGCTCTAAACACACCAGGCGGAGACGCCTTCCAGGCACCATTATTGTAACCATTGCTGAAATTTCCACGGGGTTAGCACCGCAGATGTCTTTTAGGATATACGTTATGAATACCTGTTAAAGAGCTCTGGTTAGAGCCAGGATTAAACCGCAGGGCTTTTATTGACTCCCGTTCTAGTTGTAATTACATTCTGAATCCGGAAGACGTATACGTACTATAGGCAAATTTCACTTCAGCACCTAAGCAAAGTAACCCTAAAACCCTTTAGACAAACCGCACAACAAGGTTTTGTATGAGTGGGCACTAACATTGCACAAAACGTTGAGGCTTGGCGGGGAATCGCTATTGAAAAGACTGATTGAAAAACTGGTCGTAATCAAAACACAAACCAAGAATTTTACTTAAGGTGATATGGCGTTTCACTTTTTAATTTCAAGATGAAGAAAATTGTGCAAACCGTTTAAACGTCCTATATTGAAAAAAATAAATAAAAGAAGGAATTGAAACTGCTGACCTCTTTCTTCTCGTATTTACTAACCACATATGCCTTTTCTTAAATTTTACGTGAAAAAGAAATATTTTTTGCTCTATATGAAACGTTATATTTTATAACAAAGGTATGATTAAGCAAAGTTTTCAATATTTTTTTAAAGTATTACCTAGGTTTACTACTTTCATTACTGAAAATGCCCCAGCACGAGAAATCGACTTTTCCAGTTTATATAAGATAATGTTGACTTTTGTGACTCACGCGGTGAAATATAAGTTAGGAGACACTAGAGGCAGTCAAGCGATTTCGTCTGACTGACTTGCTCTGAAAAAAAAAATACCTTCTGAATTAGTGGATAAAAAGCATATCAGTAATAATTGGGCTTCAGTCAGACATGCGCTTGAACAAGCTTGGGACGACAAGCTTGCATTGGCCGCGTTGAAGTTACGATGACATCCACCTACGCGTACCTAGAAGCACGAAAGTAAACAATTATTTATTTTTCCCAGTTTTGCAAGCTTTTCAAATAAATCATATATCTGTTCCTTAAATTTGTATTTACTTAATTTTACTCTTTCTCCCCAGCCACCATGTCTTCGACGAAACCAGATGTAAAGCCACCAGCCTTCACGAATCAGAATCCAGGACTTCATTCTCTAAAGAACTGAGTTGCAGCACTTTACGTCCTTATATATGTAAGATCATTTTACCTTTTTTTTTTGTCGTTTAAATACCAGAGCCCCGATGCTTTTGTGGAATAAAATGTGCCCACGGTGCAAAGTGAATCGCGAAGAACGGGTTGGAAAGTTTCAGCCAGATGAACCTTTCGATCTTCTTGCTTGCAACATCGCGCCTAAGAGTTTATATTTGATATATTAACATCTCATACTTGCATCACAAAAAATAGTCACTACCATTCTGTGTCACTTTAAATTCAGATTAAACTAAGGATTTGTTTAGAAGAACTCACACCGGTACGGCGAATGTATGTAATAAAACCGGCCAGGAGTCGAACACCCCTGTGTCCGCAGCAAAAGCTGTTGGATTGGTTGCTATCGGGCATAGTGCCGGCTTTTAACAGTCACTCACAAAATAAGAACAGCAGGGAGTTTTTTTTTTTTTTTTTCTTTATCCAGCGCTAACGTCTCCGCTTCAACAATGCTTCAGCTTCTCGCGACCCTCGAGAGTGCGCACGCCACCACATATTGGCGAAAGGCAACGAGTCTTGCCCTTTTCACCCCGTCGGTAATTATGGAACCAATGTCATAGCTAAGGCTGGGCGAAAGAAAGCACTGTCAAAATTAGCGCACCACCTGAGGGGTACTTGAATACAGTCACAATACACTAGTGCGCCTTAGGCTTTGGTGCGTTCTTTTTCACACAGTCTTAACTAAGACGCTTCTTCGAACAAGCCGCAATTCGTGTAATAAGGCAAAGGTTCCAGGGCGCTCAATTAAACAGGAAAAAAATAATCTAATTTATGCCTTTCGCTTGATTAAGGGCGCGTTAAAATAGATACGAATATGTATTTCGATCTCGACTATAATCGCGTTTAGGTTATTTCAACTGAATTCTGTGGCCATACAGAGAAATTTCAACGAGGCCAGGATAACAATATTGAAGACTATAACTTTTTGTCCGCTCTCCTGCTGATGAGGATGATAATTTTACCATATTTTTAATGTTGATTTGATGCACCTCGCCTTGTCATATATATTTAAAAGAACGTTTTTTTTGCAATATACATGTTTATTTTGAATACTTCTTTAAAACAAAACATCTGAACAAGCTATGCAGTGCATGAAAAAATGTCTGAACAAGGTACACGACAAATCGTATATTTTGTTTCACTTTAAAGAGCCATTGAGACGAAAAAAAGTTTTTTTGATACTGTCTAGTTGAGGAGCCCGTGTCAAAAAAAAATATTTTTACTCGAAGAAAAAAATACTTAAAGCAATATAGACGGCGCGAGATTTATTTTATGTTCTGCGCGTAGAGTCCGTGACGTCACAGAATGATCAGACACTCTTTCCCCCTCAACGTGATGACCAAGCCGATTAATCTCTCCTCTACGCTCCTGAAATACCGAAAGAGAAAACAAATGGAAAGGAGGTGACTACCGACTGAATCACATCTCGCGCCGTCAATATTGCTCTGAAAAACGTTTGTTTTTTCGTTAGTTTTCACGTAAAATTAAGTTCTTGACATCCGTGTCCTAACCGAACTGTTTTAAAAAATCTTTTTTCAGTGGTTCTTTAAGTTCGGACGCTGTCGACACTACGACCTGATGCGACTAATTAAGCATCGCCAAAAGGGAAAGTGACTAAGACTTCCCTTGGTACATGATTGGTACAGCAACGATAGAGCATGTACAAAATCATGATGAACACCATCTTGGTCCGCCATTGACGTTGTTTTATTGGTCCTACCTGCTCGTAGCGTTCTTTGCGTCCGGGCGGAGTGTGAAAGGAAGTATATACTGCGTAGTAATGTTTGTCCTTATATCTGTTAAAAATTTTAAAACAGCGAACAATCAAACTCAATGCACATCTGTTAATTCCTTCGGAAAGTGACCAGCTAGTGTGTTTTACTACTTTCTGATAAAAATGCAGAGAGTAATTCTTTTTACTTGCATTGCAACTGTGTCAGGGTTCAATAACATAATAGGAACACAAACTATATGCACCGTTGAAGTCGTATTTAGGATATATTGATCGCGAAATTAGAAGAGTTATTTTACCTGACTTTTATGCACTGTGTTTTTTTGGGAATGCTGGCCAAACCATTCCTGTGAAGAGTACGGATCGCATAACAAGAATGTTAATGTTGTGGTCTTTGCCAAAGGACCTATATGGGAGGAATATGGCGTTCCGTGTACTTAGTCTAGCAATTAGATTACATTAATTAACTTTCTATTTAGTATATCTAAAGGTATGGTTCCCTTTGAAACTTTTTGACCTCAACCAATAAAGCAGCGCACTGTACAAAAATCTAAGACAAAGAACAAAATCCTATGGCGACCAAAAAAAAATACCGCTCGATTTAGATTAGTATTGGTTTCCAGCTAAAAGCGCACTTCTGCACCAGTGGTTCTTCTCGTGTTAAAAGCGCGCGTCCACCCCTCCCTCGCAGAAAGGCAATGTAGCACTCGCAGGCGAAATGAAACAATCTGCGGAGCGCAAGACATTTTTATAATAAGCACTTATTGGGTTCACCTCCGTCATGTCAAAAAGTGCGTAGCTGTTGGAAGGCCTTCGGTTGAACGCAGCCGAAATAAATGTCGTTGAGGGTTGAAAGTGTTGTATGCGTCAGTTTTCGTCCCGCTTTCGTGTTTATTCTTTTCGATTGTTTAAGTAAATGTTCACGTTAGTTGCGCGTTTTGGCCAAAGCCTACAGGACCGCTTGAGCAAGGATGCGATCCGATATGAAACCGAAACCAGAAAACACGACCAAATGATGTGTTTTCTTCGGAACGCCGTATAATGCTGTACGTGCATTGGCTTTCTAAAATGAGTTTTTGGTGTTTTTTCTGATGCCCAGTACTTTTTAAACGGAAAGTACACCTTTTAATTTAATGACTAAGAAGTTATTAAATCGCGAGTAGCTCGAAAAGTCACTATACCGAATGTTATTAATTTGTTCTAAATAGTTTCGTTTCTAATGAGCAATTCAACATGAACCTTCTTTTATTGAGTGTTGCGTACTTCATGCGGGACATATTTTGTCAACGTTCCAAGAAACACCCTGTATCAGGTCCACTAACGGGATTTGTATTGATAGAATGTCGTCTGACGCGGAATGGTTGCAACCGCGGCTGCCAAGAAAAGTAATTTATTAGTTGTAATGTTTAAACACAAGTAACTCGTTATACATTATGCTTAAATGAGTAACGAAAAATAGTGTGCAGTCCGAGGTCCCTGCGTGCGCTTCCTCTTCAGCGGATTGTGGCCACTAGACTTCTTCCAAAACCGACGCGCCCCATCGCGGCGAAATACCACGCAGTGCACTCTTGGAACTTGTTGGCCACTCAGTTTCGGTTTCGACTGAGCAGCTTCATCTCATGCTATCACGCCGCGACCGAACGCACTGCTTGCGTTTTCGACTATCTGACTTTTCACGAATGTACAATGCTCATTTTCGAGCGATACAAAACGAAGACCGGGGCACTTTCCTTGGTTCCCAAAACACCGGATATTGTGCGTGCGTATGCAAACGTAATAAGACGTGGCTTAGTCACCTCACCCAACGAGTGCATCTTTGAGCTCTTGTCAGTAATCCCGTCTAGTACCAGTGAACTAGAACTAAAATTTGGTCTTCTTGAGTCCTACACGTATTTGTGTGCCAACGTCCGCTTCTTGTTACCTCAGTCCAGTGGGCGAAAAGCAAGCGGTATCCCCACAGGAGTATCAAAGTGGAGCCAGTGTTGGCGCATTAGCTTTTAAGGAAACGCAATAAATTCGACCTCACTACTGCACAAAAGTTACTATTATGTCTTCCTCGTGTCATCACATATCTCACACTCAAATTTTATGGTGATATAAGATTAAGTTTTCGCGAATGCTGAGATCGGCTAGCTACGAAGGAGGCCCCAACAAGCGTCCCCTACTCCTCGCTAAGCCTTTTTGGACGCCCTTTTACTGATGCCCAGGATCTATCTATGCCTGAACAGTGTGTCTGACATTATCTCGGCATACTCAGTGAGGAAAAAAGCAAACACATAACAAATATTATGGCCATTAGCAACCGTCAAATGCGCTTTGAATGATTTCATTCGTTTGGCGCACCGGGGTTCATGCCCGTTCGGCGCACTTCCACCGAATGGTGCGACATTCTTCACACAAGTGCTCGACTTTCGCTTCCTTAAAACGGTTTGTATGTGCGGATGTGCTTATATGATCGCAGGATAACTTTATGCCTATACAGCGATGTTGAATATTAGTGAAACGCAAGCGGGTGGGGACTTCACGAATTCGTGCAGTGCTGCGGGGCAGTACAGATAAGCGATGAGAAGTGTGTTCAAATGGAGCTTTTCAATGGCGCCTCCGAGTTTTACCTCGCGTACTCAGGCGTATTAAGAAAAACAGTAATTGCAAAAAGTTATATTTCGTCTATGGACGCACGAAACAAACTTCCTGATCAACAACACTAATGTAAAGGCGCGAGCTCGATGTATGCATACTTACTGGTGTCTACAGCTTGTTGATTCGTACACAAGCAAGATTCCCGAGCTTAGCAGTGTCGAGATTCCCTGCACTGGCTCGTCCACATACCTCGAAACGCTAACAGAAAGGCTCAAGTACAAAAATACAACAAGCATGTGTTAAGACGAGTTATACGTCTCGGGCTTGTGCTAAAGCTTCGAGGTCTGGCCATTTAGGTTAGTTTAGAGACCACAAATGACGCTCTCGGGACCAGAAAACAATTTCTTATCGACGTGTCGATCGAAACCAAAACCATGGCACTCTCCTCCCTGGTTAACTAGTTCCCAGAGTGCAACGCGCGCCGTGTTGCAAGCAAGGCTTTATGGAAGTAGTCTATTCAGCATCGTATAGTCCCATGCCAAGCTCGCAGAAATCACAGAGCGTTCCAGAAACTCGCCACATATTCTTTAGCTGTTAGATTTCAGAGACCTTTGTTTTTTATGGTAAAACTGTGACTCATTTCAGGCAGACGAGTGAAAAATGTCAGATCTGATGGCACCACAGATGACCCTGATGATGATCCGCGCTGTGGTGAGTATTCTTTAGCGAATCGAGAACTTCTAATGCTCAACATGTTACTTCAAACGCATTCGCTCCATTATAGTATACAGGTGGTGTGCAGTGGTTGCGAAGCATTTTTTGCTGCCTTTTTTTTACTTTTGCAACAAACCATAACAATAAAAACTGCATCATGCAGGTTTATCCCTAAGCGTAATGTAGCCCCGATATTTAGGCATGCTGAACTCTGAACACACGTGCGCACATAAAACACAAACCATTCCCTATCTTACCGTAATCATTTTTTAAGTTGACTGGCCTAAGAAGTGTGCCCTTTGTTTGAATACCTAAAGATTCTGAACAATGACTACACAAAACCTACCGTCACAATTGCAAGACACAAGTGCGACGAATTTCCCTTCATAGTAATAACAATAGGCGCTCGCATGATAATCATTTTTGGATGATCTACGATTGCCCACAGCATATTCACGCTTTCCCACAATTGGAACAGCATTTTTGAATAAGTTAATACGCTCTCAAACTGGGTTTGAGCAGGCAGATAGATTGGGGAAAATCTACATGAAGTCTTCATGATATGATCTGTGTTCATTGTTATTGAATTATACATTTACACAGACGAACTCTCTAGTAAAAAAGGTGTCAAGAAATTTAACGTCGCCCACACAGTTTTGGCATGGGAGTCTTCTGGCCAAGGAATATCATCCGCCTTTCCCCTAATTGGCCATAGTCGTATAATGCTTCCCAAAAGGTAATTATTTTTAAATAATACACACATTTTTTACATAAGCGTGTAGTCTGAAAGGAAAAAGAAAACCGGCATCAAGCGCTTTATTACACATTGGTCATCCTCTTCTCTTTTTTTGGCAAAAAAATACTTATTTTTAAACTTCATATTTGTTTGTCGTTAGTGAGACTTCCTGCCAGCTCCACGAAGCTAAAAGCCACCTGACTGTGTGCCGGTGTATAAGTGGCAAGGATACGACAAGTACCTTGTCGTATTCTTGCCACTGTATACGAAAAACACAGTTGCCTGTTGCGTTGCTAAATCTGTACTTACACAGAGCGAAATCCGCGGGTGGATGTGCGTGACATCAGTAGCCGGCGAACTGCCTCCTCAGCTTCGTCGTTCCCTCACACGAAGTTTCGGCGCGATGGATGTCGCTGCTCACAATCAAACTTAGCGGGTTCCACTCCAGACACTACCGCAGATAGTTATATAATATATTATATATGGGTGATTTCATCTCAAATCGTGCAGGCAAAAAGGGTAAAATGTTTAAGTTTAATGAAAAAAAATATATGTTATGGCGCCATTTCTAAAACCTCAGTCGCCACAAACCGCAAGTTCGTCGGATTTTTTGTTCTCGACTTATGAATTTTTAAAGAGGCCGCGGCGAAAAGCAGTGTTTTTCACACCCGTCGTGGGTCGGATGTTTCGCTTGATCTCGCGACGTGGATTTTGAGTCCACATTATATTATCTTTTTTCAAGCAATTTGTGGACACATTTAAAAGGCTCTAGTACCATAAAATAATTTTAGGCGTTTTTCTTTTTTTCTGTAAAAATGTCAAAAACGCCACCTCGGTCAAATGTTGACGAAATTTGGCAATTAATTACTGGCGATCTACTTTGGTTACATCAATATTTTTTATGTCCACGGAGAGCCCAAAACACGCTCTTTATATGTGTTATAAAATGACTCGGGCTGTATAAAATATCCCTTTCGGTACGTTTACGTTAATGCTATGCGAACACCAAAAAGTACCATTTTTGAAATTGATTTTCTCAAAAAACCCAGTTTTAATTTTTTTTTTGTTAAAATGTAGATGTGATAGTTTTCTACACGAAAATCAAGTCGAGAAAGTGTGTATTTTGTTTTTATGTTCTATATTTAAGCATCAGTATCGTACAAAAGCGTATTTTGACGGCTCGAAATGAACTTGCGAATTGCGCGTCTTCACAAACTTGGAAATATTTTTGCCTTTTCTAACCTTCCCACATAATAATCAAATATAGTAGTTCTACCCTGTTATATTTATTGATTATTTAAATTTTATTGTAGGCGGCAAGCTACATCGGAGGAGTTGAAAAGAGAAAGCGACACTTCTTATCAGACCAGCAGGTGTCGTAAATTTTTAACGTGTAGGAATCGGGAGCCGTCGTATTGATTCGGGGCCGTCATTGGCCTATATAAACGTCCCACCCCTTCAAAACCAGCAGATGACCACGACCTTTCGCGCTCGTTGTGTTAGATATAACGGCCCGTGACAGTAAAGCGAGCAGCGCACCCTGTGTCACGAGGAGTGAAATGGTACGAATGTGTCATTGACGCGGCGAACAGTGACAGTCACCCAGGAGGAGTCAGTCAGTGTATTGCAGAAGGAAAAGCAAAGGAATCGTTGCCTGAAAGGATGAGGACACCACGGCCTAACAATATCGACGGTCAACAACTGTTCTGCCAGCCAAAACAACGCCGCGTGCGCGCTAAAACCGGCGGCGCGGGAAACAAATCCCGCAGACTCACACACGAAGATGGGCCGGTTTCGTTAGGGATGTGGGGAAATTTGAAACCAGCCATCCGTGCATGCGTGAAACGATACCGCCTGTTTGCCCTAGCTTCGAGCGCCCTATCCTTGCCTTGAAACGGCCGTGCTCTCTCTCTCTCCGGGGAGATCCGATAGCACCGAAGGGTTATCTATTAAACTTGAGGAAGAAAACGAGAAGGGACTGTTTAAGTTTAATTATCCCCACCAACCCGCTCGTTCTGTCCTTATAAAGGGTCATCTCTTTTGGAAACAGCAAAGCCCGGAGATTGACATTAAAACGAGCGTGTTGGTAAATATACTTGTGTTTGTACTCTGCCCGGAGACTAGTTGGGTCGAAGTCAGCCTCCTTGTCAGCTATAACCGTTTGTGAGGAGTGGGCTTCTCCCGAGATGAAAAGTTAGCGCCGGCTGACGTGTTCTTTTGAAAAAGGGAAGGAGAAAGAGAAAGTTTGAGTAACTGCAGAAACTACCTCGAAAGCTCCTCTCCCGATGTGAAGCTTGAAGCATAGTCTCGGTTACCTACTCGCGCATCGCTGCTCGAATCTATTCTTCACTTTCTTTCGCACAGCCACTGTTCCGCACAGCCGTCATGGATGTGCGTAATAGAGGGAGGAACAGATTCGGGCATCATCTGGACGCCGTCATCCTGCCAGACTTCTGTGTCGTGGGACCGACTCGTGTGTGTTTCTTCGCTCCGCTGAACTTTGTTTCTCGGGTGCGGTTTTTTCTGAACGTTTTTTTTTTTTTAATGTTATCTTACTAACTGTTTGTTAGCACTGTTCAGTTGTTGGGTTTATTTCGTCATGGCGTGGCGGCCTGGCGGTGATGTAGAGTGCGTGTTCGCAGGCATTTGGTTGCGTCCCGTTTAGGGAAGGCCTGGAGGAGTTGGTTTTTGTTCTTGCCTTGTGCGGCTGAGTTTTCCCGTCTTTATTAAATTATTGTTTTTTTTTTTTTTTGTTTTACCTTTACGTGTCCTCGACTTCTTTGTCTGACTCTCCACCAGGCGTGGACCTATCGCCTTGCCACCGCTCGAACCTAAATACTCTATTTTTTAACGCAATTTTCGTTAAAATCGGGGTTGGGCAATTTAATTCCTATTTATTTATTTTTATTTCCTACCCCTCTCCGTGACACACTCTCCGTGGGTTTCGGACCGTTTCTGTGTCATCACTTTTGTGTATTACGGAAATGAAAGGACATTCCCCGGTGACCTGTGCGATGTGCGGTGAACAAACCCCAGTGTTTGGTTTCGGAAAGAATTGTATATAATATATCCACGGATGTGGTGACTTTCTTTGTCTTAGTAATATGACAGCTAATAGCTAGTCGTGTTAGTTTACTGTGAAAGGTTTATAAATCGAAACAATACAACGTCTGTGCCTTCTGGTTATTGAAAGTCTACTAGGCCTGCTGATTTGGTTAGATATGTATCTCGTGGTTCCCGCTCTTATCAAAACATAAATAAATATTCAATACCACAAAATTCGTTTATAATTGATTACAAAATGCAGAAGAAAATTCAAGAAAACTTTTTCACAATTCATAGAGACGCATGGGTCGCTATGTCTGACTTAGGTCTTGCAAAACAAAGACGTTTTTTTCCGATATTGAGGCCTAAATATAAAACATACAAACAAAATACACACTTTCTCGGCTTGATTTTCGTGTAGACAACTATCATATCTGCATCTGAACAAAAAATAAAAAAATAATATTGGGTTTTTTGAGAAAGTCAATTTCAAAAATGGCACTTTTGGGTTTTCGCATACTAATAACGTAAACGTACCGCAAATAATATTTTATACAGCCGAATAATTTTATAATACATATAAAGAGCGTGTTTTGGGCTCTCCGTGGACATAAAAAATATCAATGTAACCCAAGTAGATCGCCGGAAATTAATTGTCAAAGTTCGTCAACAATTGACCGAGGGGGCGTTTTTGACATTTTTCCAGAAAAAAAAAACAAAAAAAACGCCCCCTCCGTTAATTGTTGACGAACTTTGAGAATTAAATACTAGCGATCTACTTGGGTTACATCAATATTATTTATGTCTACGGAGAGCCCAAAACACGATCTATATATATATTATAAGATGACTCGGTTGTATGAAATATCTTTTGCGGGACGTTTACGTTAATGTTATGCGAAAACCAAAAAGTACCAATTTTGAAATCGATTTTCTCGAAAAACCCGTTCTTTTTTTGTTAAAATGTAGATATGATAGTTGTCTACTCGAAAAGCAAGTCGAGAAAATGTGTATTTTGTTTGTATGTTCTATATTTAAGCATTAATATCGTACAAAAACGTGTTTTTACGGCTCGAAACTAACTTGCGAATTGCGCGTTTTCACAAACTTGGAAATATTTTTACCTTTTCTCAGCGTTGCGAGATAAAAATGAAATACAGTAGTTGCACCCTGCCGTATTTATTGATTATTTAAATTTTATTATAGGCAGCAAGTT